CGTGACATTGCAGGAGTTTATGACTACATATTTTCATGTATGGCGGCTAAATAACATTTAGGAATACCTCGTACCATACAGGCAAATCTACATGTTTGTGTGTAACGCTAATCACAGAAAAAAATAAAGGACTTCGATGTAATTCTTTTTTTCAGCTTATAAACTAAACTGTACAAAACTGAAGTTAAATACTTGTTTTACAAAATACAAACATTTTTAAAAATCAAATGGGGGTAGGAAGAAGCCCAATACACCAGCCCTGTATCTACCTTAGAATTGCATGTTTATGATTTAAACCTGTCTTGAAAACAATGCTGTCAACATTCTGATCAGCATGATAAATGTTGAACCTAAATCATACTCAAGAAAGCTGAATGATTGTTTTCAATAGAAAGTTGAAAAAAAATTTTTTGTCTTGAACAGTAAAGTCATTATCACGTCCATTATGAAGGAGATGCTCGTTTTAATCAAAGGTACATGTATAAATGTAAATTAATCCTCTGCTGAAGATTATGCTGAAGAAAAATTGCAGATGAAAATATTTCGTTTTTGACTAGATGTGACTTTTCCTTCATAATAAAATTTATGCTTTTAAAGAAATTTATTGTTTAAGTCCGAATCTAAAAGTTTTATTATCTAATCTTTACTTTTACAGAAATCTATTGTTTGAATCTGTATCTGAATGCAATTCAAAGGCAGATACAGGGCTGGTGCGTCGGGCTCCCCCTACCCCCATTTGATTTGAGGGATTACATCAGTACATGTCATTCAATCTTAAATTCTTAATACATGCTTTTTTTTGGTCATTGTAAAAGAATTTGTTTTCGAAAATTCATGAATTTTAAAAAAAAACATCGATGATGTGTTACTTGGTATTTCAGAAATTCACCTGTAACCTTCTACAAAAAATTCTTTTAGCTCTTATCATATTACGACATTTCGTTTGTACAAACGTGTTTTTTTTTAAATACATGTAATGATACTTTACACTCTATATGATATAAAATAGACAAGGAAGACGAAAAGAAGAGTTATAGGACAGCATTAAATATCCCTGTGTGCATCATGTAAGTATGAAACAACATTTAGTTCATCAATAATTCAAATAATTATTGAAACAATATTTCTTGACTGTGCTATTTATAAAATTTGAAATTGGTAATAGAGGTATTCTATGTTAATATTTATGTTCTATGTGTAGCTAGATAACCGTTGTTCATAATTGATAATTGAAAGAATTTTTTTTAAAGTGGTTTCTGTCATATAAATATTCATGTTTATTGATTCAGGAATATTTAATTGACTGTGCAGTAATTAGTTTAATGTTATATCAATATTGCTTTATCGATTCAGCTGATGAATGACTCTTTTGTCATTTTTTTCTTTAAGAAACTAAACGTTTAAAGACTTAGACAATGCTAATACAATTATCATTAAATAAGAATATATTAATTAATCAATCCTGACTAATTTCCCAAAATTCCTTGATCTGTCTCATAGGATTTTATAAAGGTGATATGATATACAGCATACACTAACAAAGAACATTGTGCGATCCATATAAGTTTTTTAAGTTGTTTATCAGCTAAACGTTTAAGGATTTGAATGTATGCGTTGATATCAAATGACAATAATTGCTTTCATATGAGTTTCTACAAAGGAGACGCCAGGTATTAGTTTTTGACGTATGGCAGACACTCGAATATTTGGTTTAATATTTTTGAAACAGGAGATATTGTAAAACAGACCAGTTTTAAACCCCTACTCATATGCATGAAATGTAAAATGACTTAAAGACGCACAAAAAGTTTACATTGTGAACATAATATTTCCTTTTATAATTACACTTTTAAAAAGATGCAGTGTGTACTTTTATAAAGTCAAGAGACCGATGAATACCATTTTCAGGTGAAATTTTTTTCTATAAAACAATAAAGGTTTACTAAAAATATTACTTCATTCATGGACCTATAACCATCAAAGGTGGTACCAGGCGCCATAAAGGAGTGAGACCCCTGCTGATCGGTCACACCCGCCGTGTGCTCCTTGTCATGAACGGGAAATGACGGAAAAATCCGTCATCAATTTATTGTATAAATAATTGACTAACAATTAATATAAAAATGTCAGTTAGCATTACTCAATGATAGATTGTATTTGCTGACAAGGTCATTGTATCGACCAAAAAATCTATTGAATTCCGAATGCATTTTTGATTTACTTTTTTTAAAGACTACATTGTACATATTTAGATATTCTCAATATGTTACTTAAACATCTTTTCACTATCAAATCTATGGTACGTGAACTTATTTGAAGATTCATAAAATTCTAAATGATTAATCTGTCAATGTACTTGTTTCATAATATTTGTGATTTCAACACCATCTCAGATTTGATTTTATCTAATACACCTGATATAACAAAGACCAATGTTATTGCCATTTTTAAAAAGTAGAATACATGCATTTGTACGGAGTGTAAATTTTTGTCCATGTACCTGTAACCAGATAAAATACTTCATGCATGAAGAATAGGATACATGTAAATGACGTATTTAAACAGAAGACCTCTCTCAAGAGAGAGTACAGTTTCAGACTAATATAATAATACATTACTACGAGTGTGGGATAGTGAAATTCCACCGAGGGGACAATTCATGGTCTAGAACGATTCTTTGCCGAGTCCTAGACCGTGAATCTTGGCCCCCTCGGTGGAATTTCACTATTCCAGCACGAGTATTTAATGAATATTTTTTATCGCATTATATTATCTAAAATAAAGGTTTGTAAATGACGAAGCCATAGGGCTAATATATATTCTTTTAGTTTTCCATTTAATTAAAAATCCAAATACACCATCGGAGAGAGCATACCTGAAAATGGTTTACACTTAATGTAAACTGATAAAATGAATTTCAGTCCAGGTAAATTAATTAGATAGATAAAAACTGTGAATAAAAAAATTATCTATCCGATAGTGTACACATTCATTCTAGAAGAATACTTCCGCGATCTAAGAATAGTGCCATTTGAAAATTGATAAAACGACAATATTTTGAATGAAAATAAGTTTGTTTTAATGAGTTAAATGACAACATTTTAAGTAAATGTGACATTTTTTAACATTTTACAATTTCTTTATATGAAGACGGAATATTAACGTTATCGTTCGCGGCGTAGTAACACACAGTGTAAGACAGAAATATCTCACACTGCTGTCTCACACCGGACAAGTCAATCTGTCACTCGTGATTATGATAGAAAAATATGGCACTGTTGGTCATTTCAAATGCTAGATTTTTCCATGCATGAGAGGTATAAAAGAAAATATATTATCATACACCTTATATTATCTTTTTTCTTATTTGATTTCTAAATAATAAATGAGACTTCATGAACTAGTATATTTTCTCGTTTATATTCTGAAAAAAATCAGGATTAATCATTCTTCAGTGAATCATTTTCACACAATGTAAATCTCATACATCTGCCCGAAAATATCTAAAAAAAAAAAATGTTTCCTGTGAATCTTACTCAAAATATCAAGATATAATGTAGTTGAGGTCTGTGAAGATAATTTTCTTAAGAAAAAAGACTCTTTTGAAAAATAATTTGAGGCTTCTTTCTGATAAAAATTGGAAATATTCCAGTCTGTATTTTCAGACCTGCCCTAGTAAATGCCTAATCATCAAAGTCGTAATTTATCAAATTTTAAAGTTTTTTCAAGAACGTAATTTTTTCAGTCCACAAGTAAAAAAAAGTCAAATCTTTTTTAAAAGTTTATCCTTTTTTGTCACTTTGGAAAGCACTACAGATATAAAGCATTAGAATCTGAAAAGTTATAGAGGGAACATAATGAGAACAATGGCCGTGGTCACAATTTTCTGCAGAAAAATAACCATTTGTATAAGGTATTTTCATACCTTATTTTTATAATTTTAAAGTATAACAAATTAATGACGTTATATGTAAGGAATACTTCTTTTATTTAAAATTCTTTGATTTTTTTTTGAAATTTTGAAAACTTTAAAAGATAGAAAAGGCGACTTTGAAAACTTTTCAAAGATGTCAATATTTAGACATACATCGTAGTAAACGAGCACTTATGTCAAATTTCAAGTTCATCCTTGTTTGACATACTGGAAAGATTTACAGATTTTAGACATCAGTTAACTGACGGACATTTGTCATTCTAATTGTTAGTCCATTATTTATACACTGAAATGACGATGGAGTTTTCCGTTATTTTCCGATCATGACAAAGAGCACACGGTGGGTGTGCCGGTCAGCAGGGGGTGCTCACCCGATTCCACTTCTGATGATTTTGTGATCCGTGTTTGTTCTGCTCCTGTTCTGTATTTTTTATGGACTTCAGATCTTAAATACTATTCGTTATTTCCATATATATCATGAGAACATATTTTGGTAAATATATAAGTTATAGATTCTTCATAGGGTTAAGAAGATATTTGAATAAGAAGTCCAATTTAATTTAGATTTGGACTGTAGTACATAGATAATAAAACGTACAAATTGTAGCATATTATATCATACTTTATCTGGTTGTGTATTGCATTTTTTTTTAGGTCTTCCCCAACAAAATTTACAATGGATGCACGATACTGGGCCCAAGATGTCTTGCGTTGTGACCTATGTGAGACTCCCGTTCCCCCAATGTACTGCGACTTATGTCATGTCAAACTCTGTAAAGGTTGTGTAGGGGAGCATCTCTCTGATTTATCTACAGAACATAAAGTTGTGCCTTATAAGCAAAAGGCGTCGCTCATAAATTACCCAAAGTGTAGTAGCCATACAAAAGAGCATTGTGAAAAACATTGTTTGAATTGTGAAATTCCTGTTTGTTCTCTCTGCCTTTCAACAAATGTGCATAACGGTCATGTTTTGCTCTCTCCATGGGAACTATTTGAACATAATCAAAAATTAATTCAAGTTGATATCAAAGAGTTAGAAAATTTGATACAATACCAATATACAGACATGAAAAAAGAAATAAAGGACAGAAGAGAGCACTTAGAAAAACACTACACCCTTCTGACGAAAGAGGTCACCGAACAAGGAGAAAACTGGCACAAAGAAGTTAACATTATTGTAAATGAACGGAAATTTGAAATTCAAGAAATGAAAACAAGGCATTTTGCTGCCTTACAAGAGGAGGAAGATGAAATCAAACAGAGCATTTCAAAAGTAGATGAGGGCATACAAACTTTGAATAAATTACTAGATTCCAACGACGTGTCTCAAACCATGGCTTACATATCAAAAAACGCTGATCTAAGGAAAATGCCCCCAAGAAAAGGGATTACTTTACCAAGTTTTACTTCAACTCTTAAGGTCGACAGGGTGCAGCTTCGTCGTATGTTTGGTTCCTTGTCACCATTAGCTATTACAACAGAAGAGAGGGATGACTTTGATACACAAACAGCTGGTACAACCGCAACTGTTAAAAGAATGCTTGAGGAATCAAAGCTTATCACCACCACAGATACTGAATATAAATTTCCTGTAAACCTACAAAGTATTGCTTGTCTTGACGAAGAAACATTCTGGGCTGGCGGAAAAGATAAATCAATTAAACTCTATAATTTCAATGGCAATCTAATGAAAGCTATTCAAACCAGATCAAGTAACCTTCCGGGTGATATAGCTGTGACAGGAATTGGTGATTTGATTTATACAGATCCAGATACAAAAACTGTCAACATAGTAAAGAACGAGCAGATCCAGGAAGTAATCAGATTAAGAGAATGGAAACCACACAATGTCTGTAGTACCATCTCCGGTGACCTCCTCGTTTCCATGGAAAGTTGTGATAAAAGACCTTCCAAAATTGTTCGTTACTCGGATTTTAAAGAAAAGCAAACCATTCAATCTGATATTGATAATAAACCTTTATTTTCAACTTATCATCTGAAATACCTTTGTGAGAATAAAAACCGAGATATTTGTGTTTCCGACTTCGGTGGGCGTGTTGTAGTTGTGATCAATCAAGCAGGTCGAGTACGATTTAGATTCTTTGGTCATCCTTTTCACGCTAAAGGATCATTTCAGCCACTCGGAATCGCAACGGACTCCATAAGCCACATATTGGTAGCGGATTACAACAGTCACTCTATTCATGTTCTTAACAAAGACGGTGAATTTCTCTGTTATATTAACAGTTGCAATTTAGACTTTCCCTGGGGTCTATGTGTTGACATCAAAGATAATCTTTTTGTGGCTGAGTGGCATAGCGGTCAGGTGAAGAAAATCAAATATTTGTCCGATATGTATCAGCTACGTCATTATTGTTTCCTATGAAACAAGAGTTGTATTTTACAGTTAAATCTTCTTTGAATTTCTTTAAAAAGCCCATTTCAAAATTGCAATGAAGCTGAGTAAAGTTTTAGTTGGGTATGACATTTATCGCAAGGCTCCGGGATAAAACAAACAACTCGTTGGATAAAAATGATACCCAACTACAAATCATGGAAAATCTTATATTTATAAAAGCATAATTTCACTTAAATTGTAACGCGTCATGTGATGGGGTAAAAGACATTGTGTATATCTGGTATTCTTCTTTCTAATAAACGTCTCTCAGTAAAAAGTTGCATATCATTTAACGACAACTAATTAAAAATAATTAAAGCCAGACATATAATTGAGTCAATGGTAAGGTTACTCAGTGCAGGTAGTATATCTGATGCTGAAAATATGTTTCACCAACGTTCAAACTCATTATTAACGTATTAATTAAGTAAGATCGAAAATAAGTCAACTTATGTATTTTTATATTTCAATTTTATTATGATTCAGTTTGTGAAAGTTTTATAAACATTTTTATCAGATATATGAAGATCTTTAACAACTTAATGCACGGTTAATGAATCTGTTGTAACGACGAAAAGATGTATTTTTTCGTCAATGCAGCGCATTGTTAAAGCTTAAAAAAGGGGCGGGGCCTAATTCAACCGGGAAATGTTTACTGCGACATCACAATAGGTATTCCTTATAATGCCAGAAAATCAAATACTTTGCCATTTTAAACTGTATTTGCATAATAAACAGTATCAAAAGTCATCAATACATTAGAAATAGTTGCTGGTTAAATCCCAGCCAACAGTTTAAAAAGAATGCACTGATCGCCACAATCTATCAAATTTACGTCATTTTGGTAAAAATTGCATATTTTATGTGCTTTTAAAGGCAGGTCAAGTGTATTTTTACAGTGAAAATTGCAATGAATTATTAAACAGAATATTTCTTACAGATTTTAGATAGGCTATTCATACCAATGTAAAACTCTTGATTAGTGCGACTATGCAATGATTAGCAAGGGAATGTATGTAATTAATTTTTCCGTGTTTATGTGTACAAGTTTGGCATGTTTAACATCGAGGTGGCTCATTAAATCGCCTTTTCACAAGAGCATACACATAACAAATGTTAGTTATTTTGTTTTATCAAAATAAAGGATGCTTTTCTTAACTTGAAACGTGCTGCTGTTTTCTTTAAATCGAGATTTTGACTTGATAAGGACATAAAATACTTGATAAATGTCAAACAGATTTTGACATGATCATATTTAATTGAAATTTTATCTAGTAAAACGTTTTTTCTATTGAAAGCAGCAGTACTTTCTAGAAAGCACAAAGTATCCAGAAACAAATGGAAACTATTTTTTTTAAATTATAACTAGGGTATGCCCATGCGATATTGAAATTAGTGCACATACTTTGCATATATCACGTGACTGTCCATTGATTGGACCAAACTTAATTCAGTACAGAGTGATGTATACTTTGTTATTTCAGAAATATTTGAGTTATTTAAAAATTAAACGGCTTTATAAAAATAAATTCAGTTGTAAAATATTGTTCCTGTCTTCTTTTTTTTTTTGCACGTCTATATGCCATTTATTTCTTCATAGTATAAGCTGCGCAGTTAACAAACTAAAATCTCGTGTTGCTCTATTGAGAACTCTTCCAGACTAAATGTCAAGCTGAAACAATAACAATGAGAAAAATATGTCTATGGATTTGCTTTCATTTTAGTAATATACTTTTTGTTACCAGTAGTTTAATCAGAGTAAAAACAAAATGACTGGTTGACCATCAATTATTGCGGGATAGATAACTTTGAACTGCGTTGCATAAATCGGTACTGCACGATGCTCAGTTAACCTGTGTATATGAAACATATATATTTTTCACTAGGGTCACAACAGAAATAATACATTTTTGGTTAATTTTAAAAATCGCTTGACAAGCAACATATTGAATTGTGGATTGGAATAATATGTTATAATAGATAAAAAGAAGCGTAAATGCTTCCTGGTCGTACTTGGCCCGATACCAAACGCTCGGGCTGATACCAGCCGACATCAAAACAGTGGTGTAATGATGTTCAAATTATATATCTTAAAGTATAGGCATAAAGGAAAAATACACATTTTTAGTAAATTTTGTTGTAAGAAAAAAGAGTTATCCGTCTTTATTTTCGATGTTCCTGTAAATGTTGCTGGATATTGTTTGCTTGAATAATTATATAAATATTTCCCTGATCCGGCTATTATAAAGAAAAGTCATTTTTAAGTATATTAAATAACAAAGATTTGTAAGGTCCGAGACTTTAAAATGCATTATTTTCACTTTGGATATTTTCCAGTTAAAACTTCTTCAACGAATCGTGTAAATTTATAGGTCTGAGATTTATAGTTATTGATTGTTTTGTTTACGATATTCCAAAACCAAAAATTGGACATTAAAAGAAAACTTGGAATTGCCTAACTGTACGAAGTAAACAAGAGTTACCTCTCTTACGTAACAAGTAAAATTATTTGGCACATTTAGAAAAAAAACTGTTTTCTCAATATTCTAGTATAAAAAATAAATTCTAAAGATTCAAGTTTAATTCTAGTTTAGAAAGTATTTTTGCTTTAACACTTTAATATATAAATATATAAGGAACTACTGTCTAGATAGGGATCTATTTTCATTCTTTCTTGAAATAACAATCCAAAAATAAATCAAAATACCGTCTAATTAAGTAGAATCGAATAATACGAGGCATTTCAGAGGTTTTAAACGTGTTTCTGATCTGATAATTTTTTGATGACGTTACTGATTTATTAGAGAATAATGTCTGCGGCTTTTTCAATTATCGTAGTAGAAATAAAAGTTACATATATCTGATGTTTAAATTTGTATCAGTTTCATCAAGTTTCTTCATACGCCTGTTGGATTATAAGTTTTGAATATCGTTTAACTTTCTCATGAAAATTAATCAAGAATTTCTCCTAAAATAAAAGAATATTAATTTGAAATTTGAATTTTCCCAATAAGGTTTCAACCTGAAATGCCTGGATAGCGAAAACCCTCCTTTGATTTTGTTTAATACTTCAAATCACATTATTCTAGTCTTTAAGAAATGTATCTATGACACTGAAATGATTGCAAAATAATCTAATTTTCGAAGATTATCAGCAGCATATTGCTCATGAAATACCTTTTTACCTAAAATGTTATGCATTAAATGTCACTTTTATTTCTAATTAAAAATTTCGAGCACATACCAAAAACAGATATGTTGAAAATGGGAGGTATCGTTTTTAACAAATTTAATAATGTAGACTGATATATTTGCTTTTTCTTTTACAAAAGATTTAATATCATTGTTTGAATCAATTTCAATGGAGGGTCCAAGATTGAATAAGCCCAGTATTAAGAATAGAAATCCGTAAGTAATCGCGTCAAATCATAATAATCAACTATGAATTATTTTTACTAACTCTGGGATATTATATTCAATAAAAAAGAGTCTTCATTAGACGGAAAATTTCATACTGTGCTGTTCTCGACCACTGACGCTTTCCATTCATACTTTGTGCAAAGCTGAACCATCTTATAAACTGAAGAATATGGCAAATCAAAGGTAATGTAAACCGAGGACATCCTCGTATCCTTTAAGGAGAAGTAAGACTGGGCTTCATTGAGGGGCGGACTAAATAAATGTTGATGAAATGACATTTTACATGTGTAACTCACTAATTGCTGAAACCAAATATGTGATCCCTATAAAGCAGCTTGTTGTACAAAAGATGTAGACACTGAGTATCAATAGTTTGTAGGCGCTAAGCGTCGCGCATAACGCTTTCTGTCAACGGAAATCTACTTTTGTCTGCGATCCAGCATCATTTAACAAATTAGATAACTCGGCATGTTTTTTTTAAATGCAACTGGAAATCCCCGGATAGCTTTCTGCTATTTTAGTGTAATGCTGTGTTAGGATTTCTTAAATAGGAGGGAATTAGTAAGGTGAAGGGACATTCCACAGTTAGTAGATAAGAGCAGTTCTGATCATGATCTTCTCTATCGTACATGGTAGTTAATTTATATTGTGTCGGCACACATCACTGGTGTACCATGTAGCTAACAATTTTTGCATCAATCGCTCAAATACCTAAATCAAAACGGTGTCTTATTCATCATGTACATGTAATGTAATGTTGCAAGTGGTGGCTGCGTTTTCAACTAATCAATTCAAATAGTAAAACTTATTTATGGAACATGTGATAATTTTAAAATTATTTTGTTGTGTACAGTATATGACGAAAAATGCTATGATCTTAATTAACGTTTTCAGCAATGGACAGGAATAATTCTAATGAAATGTAAAGGAAACATTATAATACTTGTAAATGGAAACTGAAGAATTAGTTTTTGCCTTAGTCACATTCCCCGGCCAGTGGCCGTAGACCGGTGGTAATCGGTAATAATCAACGGTGAGACCGGTTGTCAGGGGATGCTTACTCCTTCATGGCACCTGATCTCACCTCTGATTATTGGAGGTCCGTGTTTGTTCTGCTCCTGTTATGTGTTGTTTTATGGATTTTCATTGAATACCAACATTTTTGACCCTTTTGACCTTGGAGTTTGACCTACTTTTTGAAAACTATGGCCATAATTTTTAAACATTTTAGGCAAGGGCTTTCATACTTCACATATGTAATACTTGTGGCAGGACCTTTCAATGGATATAAAAATTTGAACCTTGGAGTTTGGCCGACTTTTTAAAACTTTTGCCTTAGCCATAACTTGTGTTATGTCTTTCATACTTCACGTATTGAATACTTGTGGCAAGACCTTTCATAGGAAACTACCAATATATATTTAATTTGCATTTAAGAAAAGTTTAATCTTCGCTATTTTGACAGACACCAAGTTCACTTTCTTATAACTTTTGATTTAGAAGAGATAGGGCTCTCATAGCCGCAGAACTGTAGCTATTAGAAAAAAATATTGACAGACCAGAGAGCT